CATACACATACACACAAAAGCACCCTCAACAGGGTCCCATGCTGCAATTCACCCCTAATCTTAGCCTGCCCAGATTACGGGGACATGTGCATATGGCTAGCATACTCAGGGAAGTCTGGGCCTCTGACATATGGGTCCAGCCATGCCATAATTCACTATACCAACACCTGTCGCCTGTCTTCTTTTTTCCCCTTTTTAAAACAAGATATCCTGCCTCAGCCTCCCATGTAACCAGGACTATAGGCATATATTACCTCACCTATCTTTTAGGGTGGGCTAGGAATTGAATCCTAGCCTCCCGTATTGCCTCAACAGCATTCCAGCAACTGGCCTTGATTGCAGTTTTTGATAGGGGAATGACAAGGTCCCATAGAAAATGAACTTCATGATCATCTTTAGGAATATAATTTGTAATATTACCTATCTGCTCTCTTCCAATATTATGTAAACCTTTCTCATTTGTTGTGCTTTCCTCTTTTAATCTATTTATTCTTTTTTTTTTTTTTTGGAGAGGTTCTTTGCTATAGGGTGCGCATGCTCCCCAGACAGACAGAGACAGACAGACAGAAAGTGAGAAATCACCCCCCAAGGGGGATGGCCACGCCTCAATCCCTTCTCCTCCATTCTCCTCTCGGGATCTTGGGCACACACGCACACACACCCAGCGTGAGTTTTAAGCCACCAGGTTCAGGACGCGAACCTCGGTTGACTACATGGGAGTCCAGCGACATAGCCATTATGCTAAGTGCTGGTCCCTCTATTCTTTTTCGTGTACTAAAAAAATCTTTCTTACTACCTTTTTAGTAAGAATTTGGCAGAGCTACTTGGTTGTTAAATCTATCATTGTTAATTGGCAGTTTTTATCTTTACAATCAGGGACGATTACTTCTTTTCCAAATAGCTCCATGTTGTATTATTAACCTACTGGAAACCAAGTTTTCTTTAGTTTTTTTTTTTTTTTCTTTTACTGTCTTCTGATAATTCTCTTGACTGGTTGCATATCAAATTTGGAGGGCAGTGTTGGGGAATAATGAGGTTAAGGTATTTCTGGTTTAAGGGAATAATGAGGTACATTTTATGTAGAGACCATTTAAACTTGTCTTTTTTTGTTATTTAATTTCATTATTATTATTTCTTATACATTTGATATAGGACATATATACTCACCAGAGAGAGAGAAAGAGAGAGGAAGTGAGAAATAAGCCACCTTTGCCATACCACCTGCTGGCCCCTTGTCTATTTTTTATTATGACCTTGCACCAACAATGTTAAATAACCTTAGTGGTAAACTACTCCATTCTGTCCGGGATATGGACTCTTCTCACATTCTTCTGCTCTTTCATTGTTCTTGGTTAATCTTACACTTTATTATCCTAGTTTTTAAACCCAGTTATCTAAGTAAGGACTAGAGAAAGGTTCCCTGTGTCTTCACAGAGTGAATACATTGTCCAATTAACATCTTTTTTGCGTAATTAGTAAAGTATATCACTTGGAGTCTCTTTAGAGAGAGATTTTTTACAAAGTCAAGAGAAATATTGATAAACTTAGTTATCTGTAAAGGATGTCAGTAAGGATGTTTAAAAACATGGAGGGTGCAAATATGACTATGTCATCTGTAGGGATAAAAAATAAGACTTAAAAGATGATATAACTGTTGGAATATTTGGAGGTCTCTGAAAAAGAAAAGGTTACATCTGTTTAGAAATGAAACAATGAGAGGCAGTGGTGGTTAAGGCAGCTGCATCCCTCATGGCCATCAGTTTGGTTTGAGTTTTTTTTTTTTTCCTAATTTATTTACATTTATTTGCTGTACATCATTACAGTATACAAAATGAGATTTCCCATCCAGAATACACTGAATATTGGCTCAATTAAAGATATCACCATACTTGTTATTGTCAACAAATAATTTTCCATTTCTTGTTTCTTATATATTTTGCTGCTTTTTTTTCCCTCCTTGATTCCAATCTACCTCCTGCTCTCTGCCATTTCTCACACTCCTCCCACATTGTCTCTGGTATCTACATGCCTTTATTTGTTTTCCTTTTTCCCACAGTTTATTGATTCGTGAAAGATCTTTTTTTTCTTTTTTAGGGGAGTGGTTTTTGCTATAGGGCGCGTGAGCTCACCAGAAAGACAGAGACAGAGAGACAGAAAGCGAGAAATCACCCTCTAGGGGGAATGGCCATGCTGCAATCCCTTCTCCTCCATTATTCTCTCAGGATCTTGAGCATGCATGCTCACCCGGCGTGAGTTTAAGCTACCGGATCTAGTACTCTAACTGTGGTTGACTACATGGGAGTCCAATGTTATATATATATCTTTAAACACATGTCTAACTTTAGGCATCAACCTCAATGAGTAGAATGAACATTATATAAAGTAGCATCTAGCTGGGGCTATATAGCTTACTGCCGTTGTTAAATAGGTATTTTTTAATGCATTTTTTTAACTTCAAGAAAAACAATTTTAATTTTAATAAATCAAAATTTAAAAATGCTAAGGGGGGGAGCTGGCAGGTGGCATGGTTGTCAAGGGCGCTGGGTTTCCACATGGCCGACTGCAGTTCGCGTCCTGGACCTGGCGACTTGCTTTCTCGCTTTCCCTTTCTCTTTCTCTCTCTAGTCAAACTAAAAAACAATAACAACTGGAAATAAATAAATAAATAAATCTTATAAAAAATGCTAAGGGAAATTTGCTTAAGACTTAAGGTCAGGATTCTGTTCCAATGGTAGGTAGATAAACCTATCAACAGTTCAAGAGAAGACAAAACTCCTTAAATCTGGAAAACAAACCATAGAAGAAAATCAGTAATGTTTTAGTCAAAAGTCATAAAATTTTGCTTCATCAGTTCAATCTCATGTACTTAATCTCCTGTTCAGTTTGCATTGTTACTGTGGTCTGTTCTTTCCGTTTAAATTCTGAAAGTTAACTTTCAATGTTATTATTAACTTTTCCGGACCCAACCCCACCAATTAAGTTGACTGTTCTCTTGGTTGCTTTTTGTAGTCTTATTTCTGTGTGTCTGACTTAATTTTACTCCCTTCAGCACTTTGAGAGCTGGTCTGGCATTGGTAAATTCTTCCAGGTTTTGTTTATCTGAGAATGTTTTTGCTTTTTCTTCCCATATGAAATATAATATTGCCAGGTATAGTATTCTTGGTTGAAACTGTTTTTCGCTTAACGCTTTGAATATATTTTCCTGTTATTTCCTTGCATTGTTTCTGATGAACAGTCCGATGTTTGCCTCATGGGATATGCTTTGAAAGTAACTTGATGTTTCTCTTTCGCCAGTTTTAGTATCTTGTCTCTGTGGTTTTGGCCATTCTGGGTATGATGTGCCATGGAGAAAATCTTCTTGGGTTGATACTATTTGGAAGTCCTTTGTATTTCTTGGGTCTGGATATTTGAATGCCTCTCTAGGTTTGGAAAGTTTTCTTCCAGTATTTCGTGGAATAGATTATCAATACCGTGTTAGCTTCTTTACCTTCTGGGATACCGAATATCCAGATGTTTGGGCGTTTAATGATATCTAGTGTTACTCGTATATTATTCTCATTTGGAGGAGTTATTTTCTCAATCTTTTTGGTGAATTTTTCTAGGTCAGAAGTTCTTCTACATCTGAGATTGATCGTCTGCATGATCTAATCTGCTTTTAATACTTTCAAGGGAGGTTTTGATTTCCTGTATTGCAGCCTTCATCTCTAACAATTTCATTTGATTCCTTGTTATGGTGTGTATTTCCTTTTTCAGATTGTGCAAGAACTTGCTTGCCTACTGGAACTCATTGTCTCTTCTCTTGCATTTTCTGGAATTCATTGTCTCTCTTCTTTTGCATTTCTGTTTGCTTTATCATTATAAGTATTATGTACTCTTTATCTTACATTTCCATGAGTTCCCTTGTTTTGTCTTTGGAGGAGGAGTTATTCTTTTCCCTTAGGGGAGAGAGATTTTCTTAGCTTCTCATAGCTTGCCTACTGGAACTCATTGTCTCTTCTCTTGCATTTTCTGGAATTCATTGTCTCTCTTCTTTTGCATTTCTGTTTGCTTTATCATTATAAGTATTATGTACTCTTTATCTTACATTTCCATGAGTTCCCTTGTTTTGTCTTTGGAGGAGGAGTTATTCTTTTCCCTTAGGGGAGAGAGATTTTCTTAGCTTCTCATATTTCTCCTGCCTCTGCAGTGGTTTCTGGTCTCTGATGGATTATGTTTTTTTCCCTAACCTTTGGAGTTAAATCTGAGCATTCACAGGCATGCAGGAGGAGGTGATCTGCAATCTCTAGGCAGTACCGTTTTTCTCACTTTGTGCAACAGATACCATGGAAAATTGAGGATTACTCTGACTCTGGCTACATCTGGGGAGCAGGAGAGTGAAGTCTGGGCAGAAGATCTTCAATTGTCCTAATCCCTGAAAGGGTCTGCTCAGAACTCAAATGTAGATGGCTGGTAATTAGATTGTCCTGGCTAGATCTGGGGGTCAGGAGGGTGAGGTCTGGGCAGAAAATCTTAAATTGTCCTAATCCCAGTTTGAGTCTTTGACCCAGCAACTTGAAAAAATATACTGGGTACATATGCTTGTGTGCCCAAAAACTTGAAAGGAGGTTTAAGTGGAGGAGAAGGGATTGAGGAATGACCATCCCCGAAAGTGATGCTTGCTTTCTTTATCTCTCTCACCTTGGTGAGTGTAAGTGTACATGCCCTCTGGCAAAATGTAAGAAAAAACAAAAAAAGAAAAGAAAAAAGAAAAAGAATGAGTTTATATACTTTCATACAAAATATTAAGGTTTTGGTTTCTTCCATTGTTTGAATGGAGGCCTGTTGGCCATGTTAAAGAACTCTGTGAGTTGAGGAAACTCAAGTCTTTTATAATTCTGAGACTTTTGTGACTTCCATGGTTAAGAACTCTGTCATAAATAGTTGGTTGCTTAAAATCAGAATTGCGTGCCAAATTTTAAGAAGTATATTCGAAAAACAATTTAAAACTTTCTGTTCCACAGGACTTAAATACTATTTATTCGTATCTTCATGGAATGGAAATATTATCAAATCTCAGGGAACATCAGCTTAGGTAAGTATGTTCCCATGTTTAAGAGTGTGTACTATGTAATTATTTTTTAATTTATCAAACCTTTTATAGTCCTTATACTGTTTTTACCACTTATCTAGTTTGCTAGAGTTTATTTTCTGATGAGGATGGCTTCTGGATGGGGAAAAACATAATGAAGACTGTATATAGCATCTAGTAGTAAGTACTGTGAATACAGTCAAACATGGTGATGTGAAATAAAGTAGGTAGCTACTTGAGTTTAGTCAGTCAGTGAGAACAAGTATGTTTTGAGTAGACTTGAATGATAGAGATCTAAACCGAGAAATAAGACATCATTAACTAGATCATAGTGAGAAGAGAGATGGAATTGTGGAAAACTAGTGTAAGTAGGGAGGGCCACGTCATTTAGGGAATTTTGTAGGATAGGCATAGGAATTTGCATTTCTTTTCCCAGTTTCTCTTTGCCATGGAACTTTAAGTCTTAACATTTAATCCAGTTTTGTCTCCCATAAAATACGGATAATAATAGTTTTTTAAAAAAGAGGTTTTTGTCTTAGGGTGTGCTCTCTGGAGAGCGAGAGAGAGACAGAGACAATGAGAAAGAAAGTGAAAAATCTCCCCCTGGGGGAATGGCCACACCACAGTCCCTTCTTCATTCTCCTCCCAGGACCTCTGGTACTTGCACTTGCACCTGGCATGATGTTCAAGCACTTGTACATGCACTTGTACCTGGCATGATGTTCAAGCCACCGTCCAGTAACGTAACTGTTACACCATCTGCTCGCCCCAATAATAGTATTTTTTAAAAGTCTTTTGAGGGGGCCAGCAGGTGGTATGGTGGTTAAGGGTGCCGGACTTCCACGTTGCTGACTGCGGTCCTAGACCTTGTGGCTTGCTTTCTCACTTTCCCCCTCTCTCTTTCTCTCTCTGTTCCTCTCTGACCAAATTAAAATAAATAAATAAATGAAAACTTTTATTGAAAAGTCTTTTGAGGATTAAATAAGAATAAGTATCTAAAGCAAAACACAGTACTCAGTGTGTATTAGCTAGTGAACATAAATTCCTGTTTTTGTTGTTTGTATTGGTATTTATTATGCTAAATTCTAAGATAGGCACTGTATGTTGTATTATGGTGTTGTATTAAAGTGAAAGGAACAGGACTTTTGATTAGACATAGTTCCTGTAGACCAAATTCATAACCTTTTCTTTTTTTTTTAATTGCCAGAAGGTATGTGCGTTCAAGAGGAGGGGAGAGAGAGTACGTGTGCCACATAGCCCCAAGTGGAGCATAGTTATACTGCAGTACTTGTTCCATCTGCTTAGGGTTTTTTAAAGAATTATTTATTTATTTTTATTTATTATTATTATTATCATTATTACTTTTAATTTGCTATGGAGTACATGTGCTCTCCAGAGAGAGGTGGAGAGGAGGAGGGTGGTAAGAAAGCAAGCCACCTGGTCTGGAACTTGAACTGTGGCCAGCCATGTGGGAGTTCAGTGCTTTAACCACTATGCCACCTGCTGGTCCCCATCCGATTACAAATGATTTGAGGATATGCACTTATGATGGCACATTTTTTCCAAGCCACTGGGGCTGAAATTTGAACCACGATTGGCAGTGTGGGGTCCAGCTTACTACTGTACACTACGGGGCCAGTCCCTCATCACCTTTCTGAACTAATTTTTCTCTTCTGTAAAATGGGCTGTCCTACTTATCTTAATGTTATTGTGATTGTATTTACAAAAACATTCTACTGGGGCCAGTAGGTGGCATGGATATTAGCTGGATTCCACATGGCTGACTCTGTGGTTCTAATCCTGGACCCATTGGCTTGCAAATCACACCGGGCATGTCCAAAATTTCAGGAGGAGAATAGAGAAGCCAGGATTACAGCATGGCCATCTCCCCTGGGTGATGATATCTTACTTTACCTCTCTCTCACTCTCTCTGGCAAGCACACATGCTCTATAGCAAATCTTAAAAAAAAGCACACACACACAAATTCTAGCCTACTGTAAATAGCTAACTGTTATAACTTTGTATAACATTTTTATTTTTTAAAGAACTTCTTTCCTTCCTTCCTTTCTTCCTATCACCAGAGAGGGAGAGAGAAAGAAAGCAAGCCTCCAGGCCTGGGAATCGAACTGCAGTTGGATATGTGGGAGTTTAGCACCCTTAACCACTACGCCACCTGCCAGCCCCATGTATAAAATTAAACATGTTTCCCATTTCCCTCCATGACTAGCTTATTTAGTTACTTTTTCTGGGTGTTTTTCAAGTTTCTGGTTGTGAAACAGATTATTAAAATATAATTGTTTGGGATTTATTATTCCGTTTTGCTTATAACTTAAGTCAGGTGTTAGTGTATGTTAAATAAATATATCAGGAAGAAAAAAGAAAACTGAAAATTAGAGTATTTAGTAATGCTAAAAAGTTATTTCTTATTTTGTATTTTTTTAGTTTTGCTATAGGATGTATGTGCTTGTAGGAGAGAAAGGGAAGGAAAGTGAGAAATCATCACTTCAACAGGAATGTCCACACCACAATCTCTTCTCCCCTTGGGATTTTGGGCATGCATACAAGCATGCACATGTATGCAGCATTTATTTTTAAAATGGGTCCAGGGCTCAAGCCACAAAGTTGACCTTTGCCTCAACCACCACTCCACTGGCTGGCCCTTAATGTTATTTTTAAAATGCAGGCAAATATATATATTTATTCAGCATATTTTTTTGTAGGTACATGCCTGTGCTAGTAACTTTTTCACAGAGGATTCACTAGTGAGCCAGAGAAATGTACTTTTTTTTTTCATAATAAAAGAACATTATTTGGTGTGTATTGACAGGTTTTATAATGTATATAAAAATATTATGCCATTTAATCTTACCTAATTGCTAGGTTCAAAAATATTGTATTATATACATATTTCTAAACTCTTCATAGTTCAGTGAAAGTTTAGTCCTAGATATTTTGTTGAGGTTATTCTAACAATTTTTGAAACAAAATGTGAGATAATCTTTATATTTTACTTTTTTTAATATGTTAGATTGATGTCTGCAAGAGCACGCTATGAGAGATACAGTGGCAATCAGATTCTTTTTTGGTAAGTATTTCCATAATTAACTTAATTACTTTTATGTTTAAATTTTGTCTTTTGGCATTGAAATACATTTGATTCCAAAACAATTTGTAGAGCAAATTGAAATACATTCATAAACCATACAGTATGTACAGATAGTGCACAGAAAGCATATAGTACAATGCATTTTAATAAATGTATATACATGTATACTACTTAGTTGAAAATATGAATACACTAACTTTCTAGGAGATTGTAGACAACTCTCTTTTGAAATAGTAATTACACTTCTAATCTCTTTCATCTTAGATTAGTTTTACCTCTTTCTGAGCTTCTTATACATGGAATCTTTCATGCGGGTTTTTTTTTTTACTTAGCATATGTCTAAGATTATTCATTGTTTATGTATTTGTTCTTTTTCACTGCTATACAGTATACATTAGTCTAAAAATAATTAACCTCTACTGTTAATAGATATTTGTGTTATTTCCAGGGTTTTACTATAATAAAATTTCTGTAATATTGTATTTATGTCTTCTTGTGCCCTCATTTACTCATTCATGTTGGGCATATTCCTAGGAATAAAATGGCTAGAAATTCACATGTTCAAATATAGGAGATTCTGACATCTTTCTAAAATAGTTGTACTAATTTCAGTAACCTTGTGTGTGTGTGTGTGTGTATATATATAGATATATATATATACACACACACACATATTAGGTTATCCGAAAAGTCATGATATATTTTTCTATGCAAAAATGTGACACGACCTTTCTAGCAACCCAATAATAAACTTCAGTTGCCTCATATCTTTGAAAATCTTTGATACTGTCAGTTGTTTTGTTGCTTGTTTTTGAATTTTATCTATTCTGCTCATTTTGTTTTATCCCATTGTGATTTTATTTTATATTTCCGTTTACTAATAATAATGAATGGTTTTCATATATTACAGGCTATGTGGATAGCCTCTTTTATGAAATGTTGATTTAAATTCTTGACTATTTTTAAAAATTGGGTTTTTATCTTGTTTTGATTTACAAAAATTCTTCATGAATTCCGTATTAAAGTTCTTGCTGGATATATTTATTCCAAATATCTTCTACTGTATAGTTTCCCTTTGTACTCTATTAATGACATCTTCTGAGGAAAAGAAATTGAATATTTCCCTTTATGATTAGTGCTTTTCATGTCCTGTTTAAATACGAATCTTTGAGCCAGTAGTTGGCTTGATAGTTAAATCACTGGACTCCCAGATGGCCAACTTCAGTTTTGAGTCCTGGACCTAAGCAGGTTGCTCTCTCACTTTGCCTCTCTTTGTCTTATTCTAGTGATTGTATGTGCCCTATAGAAATTAAACAACAGCAATAAAATATTTTTTTTAAAGAGTTAAAAAAAAGAAGGTCTTTACTTTTGTCAAAATTACAATGAGCCTGTAACAGTGGCATAAGTAGGTGGCAGAGTACTACTGTATGATAATGGAGCCATATGGGAAGGCCCTGGGTTCGGAACCCTGGGTTAACCTGAGCACACCCATTGTGCTTGTGATCCTGGCTTACTGAAAGGCAAGAGGTGGGCATCAGGATATGATGAGGCCCTGTGAGGAGTATTTGTATGTTATGTGTGTGTGGTTTTTTTTTTTTTTGGAGAGAGAGAGATTTGCTCTAGGGTATGTGCACTCACCGGAGAGAGAGAGAGAGAGAGAGAGAGAGAGAGAGAGAAGACAAAAAATCACCCCCCTCCCCCAAGGGGAGATGGTCACGCCACAATCCCTTCTCCATTTTCACAGGATCTTGGACATGCACACATGAGCACACACATACCTGGTGTGAGTTTTAAACCGCCGTGTCTGGGACTCAAACCACAGTCGACTCTATGGGCATTCAGCCACATAACCATTATGCCATCTGCTTGCTGGTCCCTGTTTCTCTTTGTCTCTGCCTTTCTCTTTTCTTGAAGGGAATAAATAAATTTGTTTGTTTGTTTGTTTGTTTTTGAGAGGTTTTCACTATAGGGCGCGTGCGCTCGCCAGACAAACAGAGAGAGACATAGAGACAAAAAGCGAGAAATCACCCCCATCACGCCACAATCCCTTCTCCTCCATTCTCCTCTCAGGATCTTGGGCACACACGCACACGTGCCCAGCGTGAGTTTTAAGCCACTGGGTCTGGGACGTGAACCGCGGTCAACTATGTGGGAGTCCAGCGACATAGCCATTATGAAAACTGCTGGTTCCCTGTTTTTATTTTTTTAATTTTATTTATTCATTTACTTATTTTGACCAGAGAGACAGAGAGAGAGAAAGTGAGAAAGCAAGCCACCAGGTCCAGGACTTGAACCATGGTTGGCCATGTGGGAATGTCCAGCACCTTAACCACCACACCACCTGCTGGTTCCCTGGGAATAAATACATTTTTTAAAAGGAAGATTTTCTATTCTGCTTTTGTCCTGATGTTTTGGTGTTTTCCTTTTCAAATTTAAGTCTACCATTCATGCTAGAATTCATTTTTGTTTACAGTGTTTGTAGAATCCAAGGTTCATTTTTCTTAATTTAAAATGCTAATTTTAAAATAACAAACCTGTTCCATGTTAATATAAGTGATATGTATTATATGAGAAACATTTGTTTTCCCAAATATATTTAATTGTATTTTTGCAAAGGTAATATATCTGACTGGCATTAGTTGGATTCTCATACCGTCTGTATTCAGACTGTTACTTTTTTTAAATGAAGGAAATATGACCTCATACAGAAACAAAGTTGGAAAAAATCCAATGTCTTTTAGTATCCCTTTCAGATAATTTGGATTTTTTCTTTGTTACAGTACTAGCACTTGAAAAGTTTCTTACAGATAAGTTGGAAAATGGAATCTGAGGCTTTCATCTGTGAGCATTTTATACTCTGTTGTGTTAGAAACTATTATTCATCTTGCACTCTGAATGGATTTTGTAGCATTAAACTTTGGTTATTTAGAAAATATTGATGGAGGGACCAGCAGAGGGCATAATGTTTACATCGCTGGACTCCGAAATTGGCTGACCGCAGTCCCATACCCAGAGGCTTGAAACTCAAACTGGGTGCATGTGCATGCATGGCCAAAATCTTGAGAGGAGAATGGAGGAGAAAGGATTGCGGTTGACCATCCCTGTAGGGGGTGATTTCTTGCTTTCTGTCTCTGTCTCCAGTGAGCACTCACGCCCTGGGAAAAAAAAAAGAAAGAAAAGCGAAAGAAAGTGTTGATGGTTGTTCTTTTTCCAATTTTGATACTTTTTTTTTTACACATGATTAAAAAGGATGTTTGCTAAAATTATTTATGATCTCTTTCAAAAAGTTAAGGGAAGGGCGTGGGGGCGCCCGCCCTATGGCAAAAAGTTAAGGAAAGTATCAAGTTCACATTAGTGTATGCACATTTTCCGAAATTTAAATGTTCTTTAGTCCAATTTTTTTGTTGAAAACTTGGATCTTATCTTTGGCAAGATTTGTTATTTATCCCTATAGATGTTAAGTTGACCCAGCATTGTTAATTGGAAAACCATCTTTTTCCCTATTGTGTTTCAATGTCCTTCCTTTCTTTTCTTTTTTTTTTTTTTTTTTTAAAGAGAGATTTTTGCTATAGGGCACGTGGCTGCATTTGCCAAAGAGACGGAAAGCAAGAAATTACCCCCTCAGGGAGGATGGCTATGCAGCAGTCCCTTCTCCATTCTCCTCTTAGGATTTTGGGCGTACACACAAATGTGCCTGGTGTGAGTTTGAAGCCGCCAGATCTGAGACTTGGACCGCGATCAACTACATGGGAGCCCAGCAATGTAACAATTATGCCATCTGCTGGTCCTTGTCCTTTTTGTTTTTAATTTACATTCTTTTATTTATTTGTTTAATAAATTTATTTATTTTTAGATTTTGCCACAAGGCGTATTTGCTTGCCAGAGAGAGAGAAGAGGGAAATTAAGAAATCACCCTCTATCCCTGGGGGGTTGGCCATGCTGCAATCTCTTCTCTGATCTTCTCTCAGGATTTAGAGAAGGCGAGCACATGTACTTGACATGATTTTCAAGCTACCTGGTCCAGGAATCGAACTGTATTTAGCCATGTGGGAATCCAGTGTCTTAAACCACACACCACCTAGTGGCCCCAATGTCCATTTTGTTTTAAATTAAGTGACTATATGTCTCAATGTTGGCACCTGTTATGTATCTCTTTCTGGTTTCTTTATTTTGCTCCTTGATCTGTTTACCTTGATCTGTTTGTGCCATACTACCCTGTTTTAATTTCTCTAGCTGTGTATCCTTTTATTGATTGATTCTATTAAATCATGGCTTCCATATGCTTTAGTATTTTCCTTATGATATGTAGAAGTTTCACTTTGCTATTTGATATGTGCTTCAATTTTATATTTATCCCCATATATAGTTGTATATAATAGGCTATCATGTTGATTATACTGTGATTTATTAAAGCATTCAAATGACACTAGATATTTAGGTTGCCTTTAATTTTAGATACTTAGATTACTATACTGATTTCTGCATTTTAAAAATACTGGATTGTTAAATTTATTTGTATTTCTAGTCACAGTTAATTATAAGAAAATTAGTAAGCCTAGATAAATAGTAAAAAAAAAATCAGTTCAGTTCATCTAATTTCTGTCATGCAGAGATAAAAATGATTTCTCTATGATAAATTCCTTGGGATCAAATTGTGGATTTATACTAGCTGTGGTGGCACAGCTATAACCAAATTCAGTATTGCCAACAGTCTTGTGAGAAGGTCCTGGGTTAGTATCCTAAGATCTTCCTATGATCCTGAGTTTGGGGGTGGATCCCAGGGTAAAGACACTGTTGGGAGTTCCTGTGACTGTCTTTTTTGTATCTGTCTTTTTCGTGGGGAAGAAATAAATAGTTAAATAAAGAAATTGTGGAATTAAAGGAAAAAAAAAACGTTTTTATGGCCTGTGCTGTATATTGCAGGATTGATTTGGAAGAAAGTTACTGTGGTTTGTTGTTGTGGTCTTAAGAATTACTTA